GGCGTGTCACGGTGGCGGCGGGGGCTGCTGGCAGCCCCGGGGGGCGCTTCATCCGGAGCGGAGCCCGGCGTTACGCTTTCTGTGAGCGGGCTCTTCCCCTCCGGTGCCGGGTAGGTCTCGATCCGAATAGGTTGCCTCAGGCTGTGCCTTTGTTGTTGGAGGGGTTAACCTTTCAAGCTGCACGGTACTCAGTGCTCGAGTTGTTAAGCGAGGCAGAACTGTTACCTGACTACGAGGGTGTCGGATGTGTGGTGTATTTCGGCGAGCGTGGCACTTCAGATTCACCTTACAACAGATGAGTGTTGCAGTGTTCACCTACACGGAGTAATGCAAGGCGCTAACATTTCTGCCTCAAAAGAGATGAAGTGTGTATCTTTCCAAGAAAGGGGAAAAAAGTAACAAATAGAAATATAACTATGGCTAGGAGGTAAGCATTAGTGGCTAGATGCTAAGCCTAGATTGTGAACCATTAGCAAACTAGTAGACTTTTGTGTTCTACAGATTGGTGACAGTGAGCATTTGTGAGGATGTGTCTGCCAAGTCAATTACCATCTCATGTTTCTCTGAAGGGACCAAATCAAGGAACATCAGTCTTGAAGTTGTGTGTGACCTGTTTAGCTTTGTGCTGTGCCAGCACACCTCTTTCAGTGGAGAGCTTGATGTGAGGTGCAAGGCTTACACCAGCAACAGGGGAGATCAGCCTGTAATGAGTTGTGCTTTTCTACATAGTCTGTCAGTGGCCAGACCAATCAGCTTGAACACTTTAGTGAGCAGATTTCTTGCTTAAGAAGGCAGAATAGGGAAATACTATAGCAGAAATTGCCTACGTGAGCAGCATTTGTGAGCTTAGTGCTTAGTTTATCCAGTTTAGGATACAGTTGGGATCGTGTTCAGTGAAGAGTTAAGGAGTTCTCTTTTATAGCTTCACTCACCATTTATGTCTGTTTTCTTGCAATTACTATAATTAATTCTGAAGTATCCATGATGGTTATGGATTGCTTCTCCAATCCCATGGTGGTCGTAAGTAGAAAAAAGGTTGGAAGGATTGCTCTTGCACAAGTGAAACTGGATGTTGAGAGGCATGAGCAGAGGAAACTGTAAACAACTTCAGCTCTCTCAGGGCTGTGCTAAAGAATAAAAAAGGGCATCTCAGTTAAATGTGAGGTGAATAGAAAGCAGTATACTGAGGTGAAAACATCTATTTCTGCATGTGTTGGAAGAACCATTATCTAGTGCAAACTCTTCCTATATTATCTAGTTGTCTCTTAGTGTGGTTAAATCTCTACAGTCTGCTAGTAGAGCTGTGATCTTGCTACTGAGCACTGCTTACTTGTTGTCTTTCTGGGATCTTCTAGAAATGTGTGGACCTTGCAAGTGGTGTGTACCAGAAGACTGGCTAAATAACCTCCTTTTTTCTAAAAATGGGAGTTGTTTGAAGTTGTAAGGATACAGACACCGGAGTCACCATTTATGGACTGAATTTCAACAACTTAATGTTCTTAGCTTGCCACAGAGAACAGCTTCAACTAACATTTTGATCTAGAGCCATTATTTTGCAGTTCTGTAGGAGTGTCCATGCCCAGTTATTGTAGTTTATATGGTATACTGTTATTTGCTCTTGTCTGATCTTCAAACACAAATGCAGGATGTTAAGTGGGCAGTACTTCACCCTCCTGTTCTTGAGGATTAAAATACCCTAGAACTACTGATGAAAACCTAGTGTTGTGATTAATGTAGTACTTTGTATTACTATTTTTTTCTTGCAAAACCAGGAAAAGTGCTACTCTTTTGAACAGACTGGTTTCTGGTTTTTAACTCTTACTTCCTGGAGGACCTACCATTCACACACGGCACTGAAGAGTGAGCATGGTAGTATTACTCTGTCACTTGGTCTTGTCTGTGAGGCATCCTGGACTCTGGGATCCACATTTCTGCAGAGCTGAACTATTGTCTATCAGCCAGAGAAGCCATTCTGTAGGTTGAGGCAGAACTTTATGAGGAAAGGGAATAGCAGTGTATGCATAGTTCTTTAATGTGGTGCAGTAACTGAGTCTGCAGTTAGCCAGAGAAGTCTACTGAACATAGAAGCCTGCAGTGATGTCTTTTAATTTCCTTGTTGAAGAAGTTCGATTGTTGGCTGGAAGGAGTTTCTTGGAGGGATATAAATATTTCCTTATGCTGGAATAAATCGTATCTTAACCTTGCTCTGCCATAGACTACTCCCATCTAGTGCTTTATCTGCCTTGTTACCTGTTAACTCTGAGTAAACTCAGTAATTACAATGCATTGTGTGGAGTTCTTCTAAAATTCAGAAATGCAAGACAAGACCATCTGTCTCCTGGCAGCATACTCTCTGTCCTAATTGGAAAACCTATATAGCACGTCTTGATGAGTTCTCAATTTCATTCATGAAAGTGAAGGAGATATTGCAGAAGACAAATTTTTGGCATCTTGACCTACCAGAGTAGATTTTCTACAGGACCAAGCTATAGTCATTGTGGTGTTTCTAGCTTTCAGTTACAGTGTTGGAGAAATTGAGCAGTAAAAATACATTGAAGTTTATTTAAGTTTGAAAACTTGCCAGAGATCTTAAGGTTGTCTGGAAGACTGTAGGGGTATTAATACCTACTTACATATCTGTCATCGTTTAAACCTGGTTGGCAGCCAAACACTATGCAGCCCCTCACTCACCCCTTCCCCCTCAGGATTGGAAAGGAGAACATAAAGCAAAAGGGTTAGGAATTGATACAAGAACAGGGAGGAATGACTCGCCCATCATGAGCAAAAGACAGGCTCCCTGGGGGAGGAAAAATAACATTAATTTAATTCAAACATTAACAGCAACAACATTTAACAGAGTAGGATAGTGAGAAGTATAATGACATATTAAAAATACCTTCCCCCATGCCTCCTTTCTTCCCAGGCTCTGCCTTTTTCCTGATTTCTTTACCTCCTCCCCTCAGTGGTGCAGGAGGGCATGGAATGGGGGTTTGTGATCAGTTCCATTGTCTCTACCATTCTTTCCTCCTTAGGAGGAGGATGCTTCACGCTCTTTCACTGCTCCAGTGTGGGATCCCTCTCATGGGAGACAGTCCTTTACAAACTTTGTTCGATATGAGTCCTTCCCATGGGCTGCAACTCTTCTTGTGCTGCTCCAGTGTGGAACTGAACTACAACAGTGGGGGCTTCCTGGCTTTCTTTGGGTGCAGCCACCTGCTCCACAGGCTGCAGGTGGCGATCTGCTCCACCATAGGCCTCTATGGGCTGCAGGGGGGGAGTGACCCTGCCCTTTCACTGTGAGCTGCAGGGGAGTCTGTTCTGGTGCACCTCCCCTGCCTTCTGCTTTCTTCCACTGACCTTGGTGTTTGCAGAGGTGTGGCAACTCCTCCTCACAAGTCCCACTTCTTCCAGGTTCTCCTTCTTAAATATGTCATCACAGAAGCATGGTCACCATGGTTGATTGCTTCAGCCTTGGCCAGGCGTGGATCTGACTTGGAGCTGGGGGAGCTTCCAGAAACTTTTCATGTGAGCCACCTCTATAGCCCCCTCCCCTGCTACCAAAAACCCAGCCACACACGCAAACCCAACACAATTTTACATAGAACTAAGTGTGCACACTGTTGTATGTAAAAGTCTTGTGTTGCCATCTTTCATCATCCTCTCCCATCCTGTTGGAATTTGAATTCAGTGAAAGCTTGTAAGTGGCTATTGTTACTAAAGAAACAATCATCTCAAGTGGCTTTTCCATAATGCTTACCAGGGTCAGGGAAGAAGGACATTGGAGCCCGAACATTTGATATACATTCTGGTATATGTAAGAGGCAGTGACTGAAGTTGCTTTTGAAGTCATTAATGTTGTTAGTGAGGAAGACACTACAAACCTGTTTCATGGGAGACTGAAGTTGACAGATGGAAGTGAGAGTATGGAAGCCATGTATTTTCTTAGTGGGAAAGTTGGTGTAAATCAGGCTTACTTCACTAGAAGAAATTCAACTCTTCTTTTGTAAACAAAAAAGTATGGTAGTATGCATTCTGATACTTAGCTGTGCGAGTTGACAAATATACTTTGTCAGGCTCATGCTGTTTAAAGTTTTGTTTCTGCAAATTGAACTGAAACAGTTGAGGGATGGGAATAAAGCATTAGTTTTGCATGAGACCATCCTTCTGATAAAGTAGCTTCAGTGAAACACAGTTAGAAATCTGGTATAGAACATGCCTTAGTTTACTTGCAGTCTTTCTTATATAAGACCTCTTCTAACTTCTGCAGACTTGGACTGGCACGTGAGCAGTGGATAGAATCTGGTGTGAGTTTAAGCTTCTACGTTTCAGGTTTGTAAACTATATGTTTAAGGGCTTCTTAAATACTTGAAGCTTGGATGAATTTCCAGAAGGATAGAAAAGCATTATCTGTGGAGTCTTTCCCAGAAGAATGGGAGTGTTAAACCTGTTCGTAAAACAATCAAGTTTAACACACTCTCTTCCCAGCTTTATTTTATTTGAAAAAATTGTAATCACTTTCAGCTGAAGTTGTCCAAACCCCATCTGCTTCAGGCAGAAACTGTGTGTGAGAAATGTTCAGCTGGAACAGTTAAGTTTTATATTTTGGAGAAATAGTTTGAAGAAGTCTTAGAAAGGATAAAGCTGGTGGCAGGTAGCTCTGTAGCTTGGTGAGAGAGTCATCTGGAGTCTTCAGGACAAGTATCATGAGATTGCATTCAAAAAGTCCTGAAACATTCATGGAGTATACTTTGAGTTTATCTGATGGTAGTTTTGATAGCCCTATTAACAAATATTTTATATGATTGCAGAAGTTGTTTACAGAAATCATCATCTTGTTAAATTTTTAAGGTAAAGCTATTAATGGGACTTACCATTCCTTGGTACCATTACCTTTGTTATTCAGAGCACCTAAACAAACTGAAGGAAAAAAGCTGAAGCATGTGTGAAAACGGAATACTTTGTATTATTTTGTATGTATGACTTCAGTATTAGGAAGCTGCAAAAACATAGTAACAACCTGTAAGAAATTGCAGACAGGTTTAAGGTTGTATTTTGTGGCATGTATATATATTCAGGTAATCTAGTTAGGATAGTTTACTAAAACTTTTTT